TGTTCTAGATGGTTCTATTCCTGTTCTAATACAATCTGTAAATAGCACAGACTTTTCTTGCTTATTGCTAATTCTCTATGATTTATTGTAGTAGGTATCTTATTTTGTCATTGCTCTCTTAATTTGATATTCCTTCCTTAATATCTGTAGTGAAGACTATAAAGTGCTAAGTGTTAATAAGTTACGGTACTTTAATTAGATTTAGATATATATAATTTTATTTGTATATAATAAATTTAATAAAAATAATTATAAAAAATAAAAATAAAATCAGTTATAAAATAAAAAAATTAAAAATTATTTATTATTATGTAATTTAAAATAATAATAATAATAATAATAATAATAATAAATCTTCCTTTAGCAAGATCTTCGACATGGGGAAACTAGCAATTTACCAGGACTGAGTGTCGCAAATAGTTTAAATTAAACCAAATTATTTTAAGACATGTAGTGGATTTAAAGAAGTATACTCCGTACTACGAGACAACCTATCACTCACATGCAATGCACGTTAAATACACAAATAAAATACACAAATACCAAGATGCCTGCCACGCAAACAAACGTGGCTGGTTCAGTTTACGATGGTGGTTAATTAAATTATAAAATAATTATAAAATTAAATAAGAAAAAATATTTTTAAAAATATAAAAAAATAATTATTTTAAAATAAATTTTAAATAAATTTTTTTATTATTTTAAAATAAAAATAAAGTAATTTTGATACTATTTTTAGTTTTTTATTCAAATGACATAATTTTAAAGTATTTTTTTATACATCGGATGATAACTATACACTAGGAAATAATTTTCCTTTTCTTAAATACTCCCTACTTATCTTAAAATTTAAATTTGGTATCTTCGAGATAAAAATTGAAATTCTTAATCATTGGATTATCCCCTAAAAAATATAATTCTAGAATGATTTTTCTCTTATTTTTTAAGAGTTTGAATCTACTTACCCATAAATTTTAGATTTAATTTGACAGTGTTGACCTATAATTGTAATTGTAAGTTTTTCAATCCTTTAGTATCTTAAAAATATATAAAATTCATTTAATATTTATTTTAATTAACGTATTATATATTTTTAAAATAATAAAAAAATATAAAAACCCAAAGTTAAAGCACTGGGAAGCATTATGAAATGATCTTA